CAATTGCAGTGTCATTGAAGCCATTATGTAAGGATGGCAGTATCAGATCCTGTGATTGTTGCTATCTTTTTCTTTTATGGGTCTTGTGCACCTTTTTAAAATCTGATCCTAAAAATATAGGATTACAGGGTGGGGCATTAGCCTAAATCTAGGTTTTTGTAATAACTTTTTTTTTTCATATAGATTTAATATAAAAATGAAAAACTTGGAAATTAAAAGATAAGGCTAGTTTGCACAACCATTACTTACACTGGTGAGCACTTACTACTCACACAAGTAAGTCTCATTGGGCTATTCCAGTGAATAAGTTTTCACCAATGTTAGTAAGGGTTGAACAATCTAAACCATCATTTCTACGTGTTTTCTTAGCATACCCCAAATCTTGCATGTTATTTTCAAATTATTACAAGATTGAGGGCCAGATAAAAAGAAGTATAACATTAGGTTGGTTATTAATATATTATGATAGGTAACTTTTGCCTATGAGAATTTGAAAATTATGTGTAAATGCATTGACTCATAATAGCAGAGATTCTGAAGAGACACTGAAGTAGTCATAAATGTTCACTGTCTAGATAACACTAATTATATTGATTGATTAGACAGCATGCGCATAGCAACACAAATGTTTTTGATTGTCTAAACTAAAATCCATTTGAATTGCAGCTTAATTTGTTGACACCTGTATTTTGTGTATTTCAGGCCTATAACTATTGTTCAAGCTGTTGAAGGACTGTGGCTGTTATTTAAAGTGTTCAACTCTAGTAATATCTGTAGCCTTCAGTATATCCTTGAGTGCCTTACACAGCTTGTTAACACAAACACTTGTAGTTAAGACAAACAATATACCTGAGAGTCATTCTTGGTGGATTGATGCCAAATTGCTTTGCATCTATAATGCTACCATTAAAACCTTACAATAGGTAGTGTGTTTTAGCACAGTAATGGATTTAGTTTAGACTCAGGAAATCATATTGTGAATATGTGTATTAAACCATGTATTTATTTATTGTACATTTTATAAAAAGATCTATTGTAAATTTATGGAAAATATAAATTATATAAAATGTTTTCTCCTATGGCAAACATGCTGTGAGTTATTTGTGTTCTCTAATGTAATCTCTTAATAACCATATCCTAAATATGTAATGTTTGGTTCAGTGCTGAAATGGTAATTGACAGGCCTAAAATAGGACTGTATGTTGATCAACTACAAAATTTTACACATATTTTTGTATTGTGATTCATATGATATATATCGAAAGACTTTCTATTCATTTGTAAAATACATAAATTATTGTAAACTTTTAATAAAAAAGTCTGTTTTAAACCTTCAAAATAGAAAATGTGTTTTGTTATTCTTGTGGTGGTGAGAAGGAAGACTTTGAATCTGTTATATTAACTATAGCAATACGTACTCTACTGCAATATTGTGAAATTATCACCTGACTCTCCCCCATGGCTACATCATACATAAAGAATGATTCTACAAATCCATAAGTATGTGAATAACCTTACTCCCATTGACTTCCATAAGACTGCTCACATGGGTAAAAGTTAAACACATGATTACATGTTTGCAGGACTGGGCCCTAAAAGCCTGATCCAAAGCCCATTGAAATCAGTGGGAGTCTTTCCACTGAATTCAATTAGTGTTGTATCAGGTCCTAAGCTTGAAGCTCTATATGATGACCTAATTCTATTCAACCTTAGAAAGGACAATGCCTTTCAGAAACTACAAACCTACCTCAACTCATACAAGCTAGAGAATATTCTATGAAATTTGATATTGCCATATGGCTGAGATCAGATGACATCTAGAGATAATTTAGTGCTTGTCTTTCTGAAATCCTTAATGGTTTAGAAATTATTCATAAATTTTTCCAAAATTTAAATATTATTCCAATTAGGAAAGAATGTTGAAATAAATTACCAACACAAACTCTATCCTGGCATATGTAAATATTATTCTTTTGGCTGAAATAATAATGCAAGAGAGGAGAGGGTTTTTTTATTGAGGAAAAACAGAACTATTCACTGGAAAGAATAAAGAGACTGAAAATTAAAAGCTCAGTACTTAGAGAAGCCTGTAAATTTCACTCCATTAAAAGTTGGTGGCTTCTTCACAGTTGATAGTTTACATCAGGAAATACTAAGTTTCAGAAGTGGCATTCAGTGTTTATCACTGTAAAAGAATCATGTTGAATGTTTAACGGGCATGATAGATTCACCATTGCATTGCTGTTCGCAGATTTCTAGAACCAAAAAAAGGTGAAAAGGCCTTTCAGCTATTGACTCCCAGCGTTAGAAAACTACAGGCACTGTCCACCCTCCTCGTTATTACTTAAAGAAGCTTATACTGTACTCCGCTTCACTTTCAGTGCAGCTCAAAGACACATTTGCTGCACTGTGGTGTGGACTGGGGTGACACCAAAAGCTCTGCATACATTTACCAAAGGCCAGTTGGTTTCCTTCGAGGGAGGGAAAAATCACACTGAAGGTAGATTTAATCGGCTGAAACGTGGCAGGCAGAGGCTAAGGGAAGCGGTGACACTGTGGACACGGTTATGGAAAGGGGAGGTGATTGTGAAAGATTCAGCTTTTAGTAAAGCCACTCTATCAGCAAGTTGCCGCAAAGGTGCTTTCTAGCGGCTCTTTCCCTAGCAGATCAAAGTCCTAGGTGGCCTCCCCCTGGGATGTCCTCCTCATGAACTCCAGTGGCGCGGATGCTTTCAGCACCACCGCCTTGGACAGCTCCTTGTCTGTCGGGCTCACAGGAGAGCCCAAAGGCGTTACCTGGCTAACGAATCACCGCCCGGGCTTCCACACGCGACACGTTGGAGCCAAGGGGACCAGGCTGAGCCCCTGCTCTCTCTGCCATTCCTCCCGCAGCGCTGCGTGTGCCACCCTCCCGCGGGCACCGGTCCACTGCCCGGTCCCCGGCCGTCCCAGGCGGGCTCCTTCGCCCGCAGCCATGGCAGAGCAGAAGCAGCAGCAGGAGCGGAGGGAGCCCGACCTGCCCGCGTACTTCGCGGCCCTGGGCTCGGGCAGCCCCAAGCCCAGGCAGAAATTCGGGGGCATGTTCTGCAGCGTGGAAGGAGCCTTTGAAAACAAAACGCTGGACTTGGACGCGCTGAGCGGCGGCAGGAGAGGCTGCCAGACCCCGGAGCGAGGGGCGCTCCGTCAGCTTCCCAGCGACTCCCAGGGGCAGAGCGAGAGCGGCGAGGCGCCGGGGAGCCGCAGCGCCCCTGCCCTCACCCCAGCCGGAGCGGAGCCTTCCCCGCCCGCTGCTGGGGCAGCAGGAGACGCGCCCGATGGCTACGCTCAGGTAACAGGGAAGCGGCTGCGCTCTGTGGGCAGAGGCGGCGGCCCGCGCAGCGAGCACATTGCATGGGGAAGCAGCACTTTAGTTTGCAAAACTTTATAGTCAGCGATACCCCGCGCGCCAGCAATTCAGCCATGGGAGGGAGGGGGGGAGTGTCTGTAGGGGGCTCAGCGTGGGCCTCAAAGTCAATGGGAGCGTTACCACTGGCTTCGGCGTGCGCTGGGCAAAGCCCGCTGCCCTACTGGCCGGGACCAGCTGCAGGTTGGGACATCCCAGCTGTAAGCCGCTGCCCAGCCTGGCCTGTGATGTTACAGGAAACGGGGATCCAGGCAGAGGCAGCTGCCTTTCCGAGGCCACGCCAGGCTCGGGTGGCTCTGGGGTCTGCTGCGCTGCTCCATTTCATTCCCCTGAATCAGTAGCAGCCTCAGCAGAGAAGCGGGTGCCAGGTGCAGATTGATTTTTTTTTCTCACTACAAAAGGATGAATGGGTTTGTCAGGCGACCAGTTGGCCTCTGACTTTTAAGTGCAGCCCAAATGTATTCCCATCCATGGCCCCTTGGCCCAGAAAACCAGCCCACAGCTGAACTGCCACCGGTGGGGCATGCAGGGGCATGAAGGGGTTCACACCAGGCTTTATACAGAGAGAGACAGACCGACCAAATGAGCCATTTGCCTGCTACCCGGTCACAAGAACATCAGTCTGGTCATACTCCGTCAGACCAATGGTCCATCTAGTCCCGTTTCCTGACTTCCAATAGTGGCCATGCCAGATGCTTCAGAGGGAGTAAACAGAACAGGGTAATTTATGGAGTGCCCCTTCCCCTGTTGTCCAAAGGCCAGGGGGGCTTTCCAAGCGGATGGGTCCATGTTCCACGTCATGTCCCTGCTGCACTGGAGACCAAACCAGTTCCACTAAAGTCAATGGAAGCACTGGGAAAGACGCCCTAAGAGTCTGGAAAGGAGTTGAGTGCTTCAATGGCAGCAGGGTGGAGCCCTTGATCAGGCCACTAACGGGGTAGAAGCTCAGGGTGCTGATGCGGACAAGCCCCGACTCCCTATGGCTCTGATGGGAATTGCTGGAAGGCGGCTTTGAAGAGGAAAGAAAGGCCTATTTGTGCTGACAAGTGATTTGTACCAAATAACTGTAAAGCCTAAACTTGGTTTACCGGGTGACCCCCCCACTCCGTGATGTCAGATGTCAGGGGAGTCAATGAAATCAAGCAGTTTAGAAATCTGCAGAGCATCAATCTTCAGACTTAAGAAAAAGATTCACAGAAATATACGGGGCCAAAAGGGAGTTGCAGGATGGAAACAATGAGCCATTGGCAAGGCTCTGTCTGACACCCACCCGCCCTGGCTCCTGGGGGCCCTGCACAGAGAGCCCAGCCATTGCTGGCCCAGGCCCTGGCGGGCGTGCTCTTTCTTGGCAGGCAGGCTGGTGGCGGGGTGGGGAAAGCCGGCTTTTGTTGGCGGTGCCAGGAGAGGAGGGAAGCGGCTGGTGCCTGGGGAAAGGCCCCGGCGGGCTGTCTGCATGGCTGCCTCTCTGGCGGCTGCTGTCGGGGAAGCATGAGCCTGGAATGCTAATCAGGCAGCTGCTAAGCGAGGCTGCGGGGCGGCCGGAGCAGGGGGAGCCACCGAGCGCTCCAAGAACAACAGGCAGCCAGCGAGGAACGCACACAGACGCCACGAAAAGCCGCCCGCTCCGGCCACTCCGCCGAGGAGAGGCGTCGGGCCAGCCCCAGAGCCAGGAGGGACCCCCGGCCCCGCAGCGCACCTGCCGAGGGTGGATTCCTGCCCCTGGCGCTCGCTCGGAAAGGAGGCAGCTGCGGGAAGATGTCGTACCAAGGCAAGAAGAACATCCCCCGGATCACGGTGAGAGGGAGGCCCAGGCAGCCCGGGGCCTGGCGGGGTGGCGGCTGGGGCTGCTCCCCTTTGCTTTTAGAAGGGCATTTCTCTGTGCCGAGCCCCCGAGCGGCCTTTTTATTCGCAGCAGCCCGGGGGCAGCGGGCAGCCATCGGCCGGGACCTGCTGGGTTTGCTCCACGGCAGGAGGCGGGAGGGTGATGGAGCCATAATAACCTCTCCAGCACCCTGGCAGCGGTCAGGGGACAGGGGCAGTAAAGGACAAACGTGCGGCACCCGGGCAGCGCGGAGAAGGAGACACGGGCGGTGGGGTTATTTCATGCTCATTTTAAGACTGGGGACGGCAGGAGATGCTAGCGGAGCAGCTCTCTAGCGAGTCCTGTGACTGCGTCTCAGCCATGGCGGTGCTGCGTGCCCTGTAATCCAGGCGCTGGGTCTGGGCGGCGGGGGGAGGAGGGCTGGCCTGGCCATATCAAATATTTCTCTGCTGCATTTCCCAGAGCTCAGCGGAGACAATCATGCCCTAGAAAGGTCCCTGGCAAGGAGCTCGGACAGTCAGCAAACACGTTAGGAAAACAATGCGCATGGTGAGGTTGCAGATACCTGCCAAGTCCCAGAGAAGCCTGAGAGTAGGGGCTTTTCCCGACTCCGGGAGGAAGAGGAGAATGTGTGTTGATCAGCAGCTTTGCAAATCATTCAGGCCATTGAATCTGCTTTATTTCTGCTAAGAAGCTGGCACTCCCTTGTTTCCTAGCTCATGCCTTTTCAGGCCCTAATTTCTCATAAAGGGTTGATGGGCCCGAAGGACACAGCTGTTCGAATGGCTTATATTTCCCTGTCCTTAGAGAGCAACATCTTTTCTCCCAGCCTAGGAGTTCAGAAAATAAAAAATAACATGATTGACTAAGCATGGACCTTGATAACTTTGGACTTGCTTATGTGCCTAAGATGAAGTGTCTATTCTAATTTCATGTATTTATTCCCTCAATTTAGGTTGCCGGGCCATATTTTTGCCTGGTTCTACAACATTTTAGGGTGATTGGGAAAAGAATAATTATTATTAATAATTAGTATTTTTGAAATATAGTTCTAAAGCATCATTTATAGATACATTATTCCTTAAGCAAGACGGGATGTGGGTTTTAGTTCTGAAATGAAATCAGACCGGGTAGAGCAAAACAGGAGGAGTTTGAAAGAGTATTCTTGGGGTTGACATTAGGCCTTTGTTACTACAAGCTTCCTATGAAAGCCCTTTGGAGAATTAGCGTGGTCCTTTGTTGAACATAACCTGGCTTGAACTCAGAGAGGTTTATGCGGCATTATATTCTCAGGAAGAGGCCCTTGTACAACAATAGGCATCTGCTTTTCAGTTCTTGTGTACACCTGCTTATTCTCTTTCACACACCAGGGCAGCCATGTTACCTAAGAGACTACAAATATTGCTTTTTAAAAGAAAGGCAAACACACGTATCTTTGAGTCTGAAGCGTCTATTCTGCAAGACTGCCACCTTATACAGTATTTGGAAATTAACAGAAATAAAATTAAACAACATATGATTTGATATATTTAATGGGGACTTAATGTTTACTGTCTTTTTTCCCCATCAGCCCTGATCCCAATAGTCTTCTTACTCCTGGTTCATAAACCCATATCCTCTGGTCCAGCCTGTAAACCCAAAATACTAAAAAGCGAGAATACTGTAGCTATGGGATCTCATGCTCATTCATTGCAGTGGGCCTCACTCCATCCTCCATCTCTCATCACGGTTGTGTTGTGGAGGAATGTGCCACCCCTCAGATCCCTATCACTGTTGTAATAGGAGCCTCCTTACCCTGATTGTCAGGACTTTTGTGGAGGTGAGAAGATACCTTTGGGCAGCATGATTTCTTCTTCTTCTTGGCTGGTGGGCTCTAAAATAAAGCCACACAAAGGGAGAGAGAAATAACCCTGAGTCCCCTTTAAAAGTGTCCATTGAGTAAGTGACATTGAGTAAGCCAGAGAGAATCAGCCTGTATATGTGACAGGTTGTAAGGGACTCGGTGAGTTCAGTAAAAGCTCGTTAAGAATATCTGGCATTCTGTGGTTGTTACAGAGTGGGTGTGCTCTCAGAGCGGGGAGTGGCCTGTATATTTGCATAGTGGAGGAGGCCAATAGAGCTTCCCAGGGTCAGTGAATGTGGTGGCTCTTTTTGACTGGGAAGCAAGAAAAATAGTTGAAAAAAAGACTAAGGGCTGTGAAATATAAATGAAATATGTTTTGGAGTTTTCATAAGCACAGCAAAATTGCTTAATAGCTTTATTCATACCCCTTTGACCCACAGTAAAAAATCAAGGCCCAGATGTGGTGTTCTGTGATTAATTTTATAATTACACATTTCTCTGGTCCTGTAATCCACTCTCCCAGACTGTATTGTCACATGTTGCATCCTGCAATTATTTTTAAATGTGCATTAGAATCCTTAGCAGTGGCCATTGTAGCCTGGGAGTAAATTCTTTAGAGTCACTGTAGAGGTCACAGTTGGAGAAAAAATTGTAATCAACTATGTTGCAGTTTCACATTTAAAAATATGAGCCTGATCCTACATTTTCTTATGCATCTAAAATGCCCAGTGTGGAAAATGACGGTGACTAGTGAAGAATCCTTTGACTAATGTCAGAATCCTTTGGGATCTGTGAAGCCCATGGCTGCAGGAAAATCTGATTTTGAGAACCTGGAAATGTTATAGTTAATCTCCACTTCCTTTTGTAACAGTGGGGGCCTAGTCCTTTTCCTTGCAAAGAGAACCTAGAAAATGTAAACTGCTACAAATCAGTTGCTAGAGTTGAAAATTTCTCATTGATTTCCCAAAAGATCACAGCCACTCCATTAGCTCCTCTAAAGCTGGCCTTTAAGATCTGTGACACTCACATTGATTCCTCAGTTTCTGTGAGAACCTCAGACCAGTTGCCATGTGTAGAAGGGCAGTACCACTTTGGATGCCCCTAATATTGCTAGGCCTGCTGCAAGCTGCCTCCCAGCCTGCTGTCTACAAATATGGTGGCTCCTCAGCTTAGCAGCCAAAGTGGAGACTGGCCACAATGAGGCACCTCAATGTCATGAGAAACAGCATGGTGTAGTGGGCTAACACAGCACTGAGAGCAAGTAACACTTGCATTCCAATCCCAGTTCTGACACTGACTTCATCTGTGGCCTCAGTCAGCTACTTAAACTTTCTGCTTCAGTCTTCCCATCAGTGAAATAGGGAGAGTAATAGTTACCTTCCTCAGAAAGAGGTTATGATAACTTATTCAACTGATGTTTTCAAGTCACTTATATAAGTGCTAAAATTCATCCGAATGCACAGAAAATCTGCCAGTACCAGCATTTGGGGGAGGCCAAGCAGCCCCACATCCATGGCTTAGGTGCACAACTATCCCTTGCAAACCCTTTTAAAAATGTTGGCAAATATGCACAGACTGCAGCATAAATAACTGGTCTCCACATCTGCAGAAGGAGGCTGGTAGTGGCCCTTTGTCTCTTACTTATATAAAATGAGTCAGTTAAGTGTAAGTTTACCAAAAGGGTCATCACATCAACCCACTCCAAAACCAGCAAGATGGCCTTCTGCTTGTTAATGTTGGGCAGGAGTCATTTATATTGGAGGGTGGAGAACAAAATGTTTTGCAGAGCTACTTAAAGCTGTGAAGGGAATTGTGGATGTGCAATTAATGAAAAAAATGAGTAATAAGTAATGTGCACTGTAGTATGTGAATGTTTTATTGTAACTTTGCCTTAATATATTATTTTTAAATTACTCCTTACATCTTCTGTGCGGCATACAGTTCTCTAGGCTTGTGCTGTGAAAAATATAGATTAAATCCCCTTTCTGGTTGATTTAAAGATGTTAAAACATTCTTTATTTGTATGTAAAATATATGTTATTTTAGTTTTAATACTTTTTATACTTCTGTATGTGGAATACAGTCAGGCTTTACTATGAAATAGTTTGGGTGTATTTTTTAAACTAAATTGGACTAATAGATGTGCAAAATATTTTGTCTCAGACTTTAACTGCAGCAGGCAATTATAGACTATTATGCATGAAGGCCTGTAATGAGTAAAACAACTTCTAAATAAAATAATTTTGGGAAACATATTTTTTTCCATTAGAGTGACCGGCTTCTAATCAAAGGAGGAAAGATCGTCAATGATGATCAGTCATTTTATGCTGATATCTATGTGGAAGACAGTTTGATAAAGTAAGTTACTTAAGAAATATTTTGTATTACAATTTCCATACTTAACATTGTTGGTGCAATTTAATATGAATAATCGTTTTCAGAGACCCCTTTAATTTTCTCAGAAATATGTTCAAAATATTCTTTTGGAAAAAAATCAATAGTTCATAGGGCATTGGAAGAAAAAGCTGAAAGGAATATTTCCTTTCTTGAGTTCTAGCTGTGTTCTTGAAGGCAACAAGTAAAATGATCTTAGTCCCTATTGCTGTTACTTCCTTAGTAGCTACTATCAAATTTATGATCACTGTTAGTACTAGTTGAGTGGTCTAAGACTACATGAATGAAGAGAGGTTGGGGTCACATTTGATGCCCTGAAATGGGCTGGCCTGTGGGGCTGGTATTGGTGGTCTGCACTGCCATCCAGGAGACGCCGATCTGCTCAATCCCATCCTAGAGTTGAGAAAGTTTTGGAGGCAATGCTTTGCAAGTGGAGATGAGAGACTGGCTCACAATTCTCAAGAGCAACAGCTATGGGTCTGAATAAAATTTCATCCAACCTTCCATTGCCAGAAGGATGGTGACTGTGATATGAGGCCTCACAAGAGAAGGGGCATCTAAGTAAGGAGAAAATGGGAGAAACTTAGAGCTCCATTAGGGTTCTGAGGACCCCAACTATCCCCCATTTCCCAAAGGAGAGCATAACTGATGTGCATTGGCAGCACAGTGTGGAAAAGCTTACAGAAATGGACATGAGCACACACACATACTCACTTTTAACAGGAAGTTAATACATTTTTGTTCAAATGTTATTTGCAGCTAGTAGAACTTTTTAATATTGTTTTTAGGCAAATTGGAGAAAACCTGATAGTTCCTGGTGGCGTCAAAACTCTTGATGCCTATGGCCAGTTAGTTATGCCAGGAGGAATAGATGTCCACACTAGACTACAAATGCCTGTGATGGGAATGACCTCTGCTGATGACTTCTATCAAGGCACAAAAGCAGCCCTAGCAGGAGGAACCACCATGATACGTAAGTAGCATTATTGCAATGACTCTAAGAAGTACATCTTTCAAAAAACAAACGAGGTGTCCCACCATCGAAAAGATTGCTCAGTGTCAGTTAACACAGGAGCGAGACTTCAGTTCTGACCAGGTTAGTTACAATTGTACCATGTATTAAGTTTCCTTTAATAAACTCTGCTTTTGTTATATGTTCCTTTTTAAAAGATAAAGATTCTACTTATTATGAGGCCCTTTCACCTTTATCGTTGTAAGCAATACAGGGCACATCTGTAAACAGATGGTCACAGAAAATTTATATTTATATACCGTGCTTTTTGTAGGTGGAGAAAGAAAAGTGACTTGGTTATGAAATCAAATATTGCACTAGTTTCCAGCTCTGGGGTTGTGAGAGCAAATACTTTTGAGGTTCAAAGTAAAAATGATTTTGATTTACTCAATCTGATCCCAAGTAGACTTTACAAAACCAACACACAGTTCAGTCCAGTGTTTACTCACTGGAGGCACAGAACTGAACTATAAATGGTCTCATAGGTTAATACTGAGGAGCATAGGTAGGTGTAGCGGGAAATACAATACTTATGCGTGACTGCCATTGCTAAAGTCAAAGGAAGCTGTGCACAAATATCGAAGAGCAGAATTTGGCCCCTTGTTATGTATATGATAGCACATACCTGTCTCACATCACCATATTATCTAGACACAAGGGGATGAATTCAGGTTGTAGTGTTAGTCACAACTTGGAATTGACTTGTTTTGCTGGTTTTTGTCTCAGTCTTAATGGTAGTTAAACACAGTTCGGAAGCTTTCATATTCCTCGTTTTTAATTATAGAATAATTTGCATTAAAATGTCTCCTTCCTACCATAGAAAACTGTTAGACAAATGCATATTTATGGGCATTATAATAATGTCCCAGTGTTACCCCATCATATAAAGGCTGCTGACACTCTGCTATATTTCTTCAGTTGACCATGTATTCCCTGACTCTGGAATGAATCTGCTTGCTGCATATGACCAATGGAGAGAGTGTGCTGATAACAAAGCCTGTTGTGATTATTCACTGCATATTGACATCACACGCTGGCATGAGAGCATAAAAGAGGAACTGGAAGCTCTAGTGAAAGACAAAGGTAAGGACAAAAAGACCAGTGTTCTACTAACCTAGTTACCAGCAAGAGTGAAAGCTGACACAAGAAAAAAGATCAACTACTTTTTAGGGCAATATGCATCCCTCTAACATCAAGAAACCACCTTTGGTAGGGCAAGACAAAATTCTTGGGCCCAGTTCTGAAGTCCTTACACTGTTAAGACTCCCACTGACTATATTGGAGATTTATCTGTGTAAGGAATTTCAGGATTGGGCCCACAGGGCCAAATTGTGCAATATTACTTCACTTGTGTAATAAAGTGGACATCAAGGGGTTAACTGGGTTACTCAGAGTATTATGGGTTGGCTCCATACCTCCATACCTGCTTCGCTTCTTGTTTAGTTAGTGGGTGCTTCCCCATTCCCTCTGTAATATAATAGGAATAAAGCAGCCCATTCCCAGCCTGCAGTACTGAAAATAAAGTGTATTTCTTGTGCACTGACAGTCCCTTCACAAAAACTTATACCTGTAGTTCTTGTATATAAGAACCCGTGGCTATCTACCCAGTAGACATTGTCTACTGAAGAACTCACCCACCACAGGATTATGCATTTCACTAATATGTCGCGTTAGTCACATATTTGGGGCTGTGTTTTGTGCTCAGATGTGCCTACACAAATCTAATTGGCTTCAATGGCAATTGCAGTCATACATTCAGGGACAGAATTTGTCAGTTAACACAGAAATTGTTAATTAATCTTCCATTAAAATTCTCAGTGGTAGTCAAGGAAGCAGCTATTCAAAGCTGAAACCAGACATTTTTCATACTTACCCATATATAGTAATAAAATGGAGAGAATTTCATAGTGTGACTATAATTTAAAAACCATTGTGGTTTTTATCTACATAAAAACAGTATAAAGCAATACAATAGAAATTAACATGCTAGGCCCCAACACTAAATGAATCAGAGTACACATTAGATAGAAACGAGTTATGCATTTTGTTATGCAATGCAGTATACATAAGTGTTGTATATGTAGTTCTATAACTAAAGGACATTGTTTTGAATGTAGTGCTTTTGGCTTTAATTTGTACTTTCAGCATTAATAAAATGATTCAAATATAGCACCTAGAAATGAGCCAGCATTGCAGCTTAGAATTCAAACCTGTTTGTGGAAAGGGTTAAGATTCAGATCCATGAAACTGAACTCACCTGTGTGGTTTTGGTTCCAAGTTGGATCTAAAACTAAAAAATGGGTTGTTTATTGGTTCTGGTTTAAATGCATCCAAAAACCAATGACGGTACAGCATCTTTCATGAACTACAACATTTGGGGCCCAAATCTCATAAAAACAAGTTTTCATGCCCTTTAGTCCAAATCTGAACCCTAGGCCTTGATTCAATCTCAATCCTCAACACTAGTCTAAAAACCTTACCTAGATCTGAACACCACCTTTTCCATCCCTCTCTAGTAGACATGAGTGATTTGTTTTCAGCTGTGACAATAAATACACATGTAATTTATTTTTTTAAAGGTGTGAACTCCTTTCTAGTTTTCATGGCTTATAAAGACAAGCTCCAGTGCACTGACGCCCAGGTAACACAGAATAACTGAAATGCAATAAAAGTCATCAACTACACTTTTTATACACTGTGACCTATCTGACACTAGGAAATTCTTTCCTTCCTTCCTGACAGATGTATGAAATATTCAGCATTATTCGCGACCTGGGTGCCATTGCCCAAGTGCATGCTGAAAATGGAGACATCATTGACGAGGTATAGTAAATGTACTGTGACAGACCCAGTGGGGTACAGGAGTCTGGTAGAGGGCAAATATACTGGTCACTGGATGAGTAGTTTTCTGTTCCCTGAGTGACCAGAGCAGGGGCTGCACTAGAGTAATCAGGAACCTGCTAGAACCAGTTAAGGCAGGCAGGCTAATTAGAACACCTGGAGCCAATTAAGAAGCTGCTAGAATCAATTAAGGCAGGCTAATCAGGGCACCTGGGTTTTAAAAAGGAGCTCACTTCAGTTTGTGGTGGGAGTGTGAGGAGCTGGGAGCAAGAGGTGCAAGGAGCTGAGAGTGAGAGGGTGTGCTGCTGGAGGACTGAGGCGCACAAGCGTTATCAGACACCAGGAGGAAGGTCCTGTGGTGAGAATAAGGAAGGTGTTTGGAGGAGGCCATGGGGAAGTAGCCCAGGGAGTTGTAGCTGTCATGCAGCTGTTACAGGAGGCACTATAGACAGCTGCAGTCCACAGGGCCCTGGGCTGGAACCCGGAGTAGAGGGTTGGCCCAGGTTCCCCCCAAACCTCCCAATTGACCTGGACTGTGGGTTCTTCCAGAGGGGAAGGTCTCTGGGCTGTTCCCCAACCCACATGGTGAATTTCTGAGGCAAGAAAATCCGCCAATAAGTGCAGGACCCACCAAGATAGAGGAGGAACTTTGTCACAGTATCCATTTAAATTAAAAACTAGCCACAATATTAATTTAGGCCAAAATGCTGCCCTGAAATGAAGTGGCTGCACAACAAGCAGTAGGGGGCAGAGCAGTGCCAGACACATTTCCAGCATTTGAGTCATCCTGCCAACTCAGGAACAAGTGATACAAAGCTGGCCAGGAGGCATACATTGCTGGGGACCCCTGGCTACTTCTGTGAAAAGAATCAGCATATGTTCCACTAGTGCATGCTGCCAGTCACAGTATCACCCAGCTCATACTCCTATTGAAATTATTGGCAAAACTTTCATTGACTTCAGTGGCTGAGTTAAGGAAACATGAGAGCCCTGGAGATGAACTTCAAGGATGTCTGCAAAAGGGAATATAGATGGTACAGAAATAAAAATTCCATACATTTGCCTGTAGAGCAAACCTTCTTGGGTCTGCAGTGTAGTGGCCAGCGCAGAAGCTGGTCTCTCTCCTCAGTATTCCCTGCAGTGTTAGGTTGGTATTCTGCCCTGCTAAGGCATGTGGGGAGTAGAGGGAGGGTGCTCTCTACATCTTCTTCCCTGCCTAGTCCACCCACCCACACAACTAGGCAGGATTTGGCCTTTAGGATAATCTGATTACCTGAGCTTTGGAGGGAGTGGACTGGCAGCAAAGCCTGTTGTGACATCATATATTGGCAGAAGAGCTTGGAAGAAGATCTGGAGTCCTTACTAAAAGCAGAGGCATCATGCTGACTGTTTGCATCCAGCTGGTTATCATCACAGGTACATTTATAACAGCTACCTGCAGAAATTTAGGGCTTCTTACTTCTCTAAACTGTGCCCGCTTTTGGAGATGTTTTATTCTCATTTTATTTAAAAATCGGAGGCTCTAGCCCTGAACAGTCAAGAGATTTGAGGCTTTCACAGTAGCGTACATTTCAGCTGGATATATGGTTCCAAATGTAGGGGCAAATAGTAACAAGGGAGTATTTTGCATTCAAAATTTGTATTGATTTTCATTCTACCTATCTCTAGTCTAGCATAGAAAAATGTGAAATAGATGTTGGGAATAGATGCAGTATAGAAGTAAACAATGCAGAATAGAAGTAAACCTGTCATTCATTCCAAATAAGAATCAGGTAACTGAATGCACAGTATTATATAAGAGAGGATTTATAATTAAATGCCATTTCTCAACACTTCAAGTGGCCTTTTTGTACCAAACAGGACTGAACTTAATACCAGTTTTCCCCACTAGGATTTTTCATTCTCCTTAGCTGGCTGTTAAACATAATGTGATCCCAAGCAGTTTAATATCTTTACAAGTATTTATTTAAGCTGCGAGTGATAACATTAGAGCCCTGGAGGTGAACTTCCAGGATATCTGCAAAGGGAACATGGATGGTACAGAAATAAAAATTCCATAAATTTGGCAGCAGACTGTCCACAGAGGGCAGCAGAAAATTACAGAATCCATCCCTCCATTGATGATGGATAGGAGTCAGCACTGCACAAAATGTGGATGCTAGCTAAGAAGGGGTGTGGCCAGGAGAAGCCAAGGAATGTGCTGATTCAGCATATCCCCAGAACAGCTTCTGCTGATGGGAATAGTTAGCAACAGCAATTATTGCAATTGTGCAATTTAAAGCTGTCCTTCCCTAGCAAAAAACCCTGAGAGAGGGCAAACAATGGAAATACTCCTGAGTGGCTCCTCATATGATGCAGAGGGCCAAGATGGAACAAGGAGGTGTAAAATATACATGGTGATATCTATTTGATTAGTTGTGGAAAAATGGCATTTAACATGCACCTGTACTCTGCCCACCAGTCCATCTTTGCTGGGAATGCCTCCAACATTCCATGCTGTGAGCAGCTTCAAACAGCCACATTCCCTCCTGCCCCTGAACAGCCTATTAAAGAAACATTTCCTTCATCTTTCCCCGCTCCCCGCAACATGGGATTTTCGTCACAAACATTACAGTGGCCTGAGGGTCAGACAGGCAGTAGTCAGCCCTTCAGCAATGACAGGTTTAGGATCGTATATCTTGCTCTCTTTCAGAGCTGCCGGGGCTTCTCTACCAATAGGTAAACTAGGCAGCTGCCTAGGGTGGCAGCTTTCTGGGCAGCTGCTTATGGCAGCAGATTTGGCCTGGCTGCCCCCCATCATGACAAAGAGGCGGCTGGGCCAAATATGCCACCCTAAGCCTATGAAGAGGTGAGCAGCACTCTGAAGTTTTTCCTAATGTGGCAGATTATCTTTAGTGGCCTCTGCAGAACTGGCAAAGGGAGCTCTATATCATTGGTGGATGGCAAGATTCCCAGCTCACTGATGGAACACACAGCATTTGTTCCTAGCCCTAGAGAGGTTTCTCCGGTGTTACTTATAATTTTCTCTCTCTCTCAGGCCCATGCTTTGGCCTAATGCTAAGAGAAAGGAGCTGAACTCCCTCTACCTCTATTGGCTTCAGTAGTAGTTGAGGGCAGCTGTGGATGTGCTCAGTACCTCATGGATCAGGCCAGTGTTTAATTTGTGCCAGGGCTTTCCAGTGCCAAGCCCCAGCACCTCTAGGCTTGGCAGTTCATAGCCCCGGCACCTCTGGACTTGCTGTATCGGTTATGAAAGTAGAAACATTGCTTGAGTCCCAGCAGCTAATTGCTTGAGCCCTGGTACCTCTTTAATTACAAATTAAGCACTGGATCAGGCCACAGAGAAAACTGGCTCCATAGGTTGAGGGCTATGAAAAAATAATACTAATAAAGGTGATAACATTCCCCTGAAAATGTGTGTGGGAGGGGATACACAGAATGCTGGACAGTGCAGTGTGGTATAAAGTCTTTTCCGATGCTCACTTGGGATGACCTCCATAAATCATTGCCACTAGGAATATGTGTGGGACTTCACAAGCCCCTCAAGATAACTGCACTTCTAAAAGGATAGGAATGCCCTGTGTGATGGAGCTATCCAGCCTTCAGCCTCCTGTTCCACAGTGAGCTTGAAGTGCCTGAATGAATAGCCCAGGAAAAGCACATAGTTATATCGCTTAATTGTTTCTGAGCAAGTGAACCCCATCAATATGTTGTCAAATCACCAGAGTGTAGTATGCTGAGTAGTATGACCAATCCCACTAGAATGTCTTGTTTATTATTGTCATAGTCTCTGTTAAGATGCTCTAATTTTCATGGATATAAATGGTATTCCAGGATATTATTTAGGAATTTCCATAACCCTCAAGTACTTCTAGACATGATGTTCCAGTCCCACATTATTTTAGATTGTTCCCATCACTTACTGTTTTTCTCATTTTTCTACATTCACTTAGGAGCAAAAGAGACTGTTGGAACTTGGAATTACTGGGCCAGAGGGGCATGTTCTTAGCCACCCAGAGGAGGTAATATCTTAAGTTTGTCAAATGAACATGTTTAGAGCTTTAAAGAAGTCTCCACTCATGTCCATTCAACTAACAGAGATGTTGTAAGATGTCGCCTGGTTGTGTTCTTGTTTCCCAAGGTTGAAGCAGAGGCAGTGTACCGTGCAATTACAATAGCAAAACAAGCCAACTGCCCGTTGTATGTCACAAAAGTAATGAGCAAAGGTGCCGCAGATGTGATAGCTCAAGCAAAGCGAAAAGGTAAAACACCACTTCACATTTACACACTAATTAAAACTATTTACTTGTCTCCATGAGTATCACTGCAATAAAAGGGAGTTAAGAGTTCATAATTAGCCAATTTCTGGTACATCTGAAAAGCACAACACTTGATGTTAGCTTCAGTTTTCAAAGTGTACTGGAGTTTAATTGCACTGAAGTGAACTCAAAAGAGTCGAAGAGATTGGCAGAAGACTTTGCTACACAAGTCTCATTAGGTGTAGTTGGAAAAAAATGTCAAGAATTCATTTCCAACCTATTGTCATGCTTTGAATGAAAAAAAATGAACCTGGGAATGCCTGAGAACTCAAACTGCTGACACACTGGGAAGAAATAGAAATATTCCTCCAAGGAAACAAGGTAACACAATACCTAGAATATAGTAATTCGGACAGATCCTCAGCTGGTGTATCTACATTGAAGTCAATGGAGCTGTGTTGATTTACACCAACTGGGGTGGGGATCTGGCCCACTGTGTGTGGACGTGGGTGACAAAGGTGAGAGACAGAAATATCCAGTCATAAACATACAAGACTGAGTCTATCCCAGGTGTAAATCAACTGATTTAAATGGAGTTACATCAGGAGCGTGCATTTTGCCCATAGTTTTTGTGTAATTTTTGGTATCCCACTGAGAGGGATTTTTAGACACATTCCCTGCCATTACAAATAAGGAGCCATGTCCTGAAGTGTTTGTTCTGCTTTCTTTGGTCTTTCTCAGCCAAAAATAGTACCGAATAGGACTCTGGGGTTTGGCCAAGGCTGTTTCCTGATTGGTACTTTGTACTTTTACAAGGAATACTGTTAAACTTTGTAGCAATCTGATTGGCTGACAGAAATTCAGAAAACTGAAACACAGAGAAACTGGCTCAAACCATCTTTTACTCCTAATCTTAGCATTTGTCTACACTGTGGGAAAAGAGAGTTCACCATCAGGAGCATGTTACGTATTTTCAGATTATGTATTAGCATTATTATTCTTTAGGCACAGTTGTGTATGGAGAGCCAATTACAGCGAGCCTTGGCACGGATGGATCACACTACTGGAGTAAGAATTGGGCTAAAGCTGCAGCCTTTGTTACATCCCCACCAATTAGCCCTGACCCTACTACATCCGATTATCTCACTTCTCTGTTATCATGGTGAGTTGGCAAGGAGAGTAAATGACAGTGGCATGCAGAACAAAACCCAGTCCCTGGAGTTGTTATTCAACCTCAGAGATGGGCCCAAAGAGCAGAGTGGAGTTTTGATTCAATCTCCTTACAGTTCCACGCTGTCTGGATCTGGGGTTTTGGCTTAGGGTCTTTGCTAGTCATCACCAAAAAGCTTACTGAGTAGAACCATTCAACAGGACTCCTTGTCGAGTAAATTAATATTCAGTCTGAGTAGGGATGGAAAAATCAGGCCCCAAAGTAACACCTGAAGACTGTGTAGGGTGCGACTATTGACCTGTAGAAGTGCACTACAGTAGTAAATATTCTGCCCTAATAGGTCTCCTGATGAGAATTATTTTGCATTCTCTGAGATTTCACAAAATTCTTCTCTCTAGAGGTGTGACTAGACTCTAGGGAAGCAAACAGATTTGATTTGATTAATCTTTGTCCTGTGGAATAATGTCCACAAACAGACAATAAAATATGCATATAATTCAATCTTGAATTACAGCTGTGATATAAATCAGGAAGGATGTTTCAGGGCATGAGCAGATGTCTCTAGAGAGCCTCATTCTAGAGAACCACCTCAGCTCCCTCCTTTCCTTCTCCCATCCCTATCAGCCTGGCTCAGATTTGTTGAGTTATAATAGATTCTGGTATATAGAATCTGGTTTTGTCCTGGGTCTGGCCATAGCCAGGAATACCCCTGATATAAAAGGTCCTTTAAAATCATTTCTTGAAAGGCTGTCAGGGCCAAAAGGATGGATCAAGAATCAAGACTGGGATGTTGATTTAAGGAGTGCAATTACTGGGCATTTAAGGTAACATTTTCAAAAGCATCTAGGCACGTAAATCCAATGGGACCTAAGAACTTAAATCACCTAGGCACCTTTGAAAATATTACCCTAAGGATGAAATTCACCGCTGCACAGAGGGCTAAGCACAAGACCTATGAGCCATTTATGTCACACTTAACCCCCTACACAGGAGATAATTTCACTCTTAAAGAGTATATAGTTGCAAAGAAAAGGCCCCTGAATTATTACGTTGAACAATACAATCTGAGCAATCAATTTTGTCCATTAACTGCATTTTGGTTTGTTTTAACTCAGTGGGGATCTGCAGGTTGCAGGCAGTGCCCACTGCACATTTACCACCGCACAGAAGGCAGTAGGAAAGGATAACTTTACCCTTATTCCAGAGGGAACAAATGGCATTGAAGAAAGAATGTCAATAATTTGGGAGAAGTGTGTGGTAAGTAACTAAATAAGTGTAAATGTTTGCTGAATTATCAATGCAAGTGCATGCAAATGGCATTTTGGCAGATATGAGGATTTAGAAAATAGCAAGATTTTTTTTTAATGGAAGGGAAAGAGGTACATTATCATCTTACATTGCTGAATGCCTCATTGTGTGACATTATCTAGGCTGCTACTTAAAAAAGCTTTCCTAATGAGAGAAAATGTAACATTTGAATGTAAATGTCTTGAAAGAGCTCCTTATTAGAAGAATATTCTATCCTAGTCTGAACTATGATCAGAAATAAAAGTCTATCCAGAAGATTTTTGTAAAGGCAAGAAATGGAGTTTCCATTTGTATTCTTTTCCTGTAGGACTGGGCAAACTATATGGAATTTGTTCATTTGTAATTTCTGCAACATTATAGTACCCTCAAAATAAGTTGTGAGTCTCTGTGTTGACTTCAATGAGCTTTGGATCAGGTCCACAGTGAATCTTGAGTGTAGTTTGTTATTAGAGAGACAAGGTGGGTGAGGTAATATCTTTTATTGGACCAACTTCAGTTGGGGAAAGACAAACTTTCGAGCTACACAAAGCTCTTCTTCAGGTTTGTTACGTCAGCTGTGCTTTTTACGATGCACTAATTGTTTAGCCTATACTAACAATGTTCACCTTTGAAAATATTCATCTTCATCTTCACTGGAGCCCTGTTTCTCTGTCTAGGTTCTTATACCTCACCCATCATTATACTATCTGAGCCCTTTCTTCTGGTACCTCCAGTTTCTTGTATCCTTCTCCTAGTAGCATGTTGAGGATCAATAACACTTAGAAAGCTCTGGTTCCAATAAACACGATATTTTTCTATCTAAGAGAAGAAATTATATAATCTAAAGACTGACTCACTTCAGTATCAACTAAAGAAAGTTCTGGGTGTGAGCCCAGTACTTGCTGAGAGAAATGAGTCCTGTAGATGAAAGTGCTGCCAAATGAATGATAATGATACACAATAGTTGCCACAGACCTCTCTGTAGCCTCACTTCACCCTGTACACTTATTATTCAGTGTTGTGAGATGCAGTGTCTGTTGTGTTGAGCTGTATTCGTGTCATAGGAGTACCTACATAGTGACTATAAAATGGGAGCTGTAATCAGTTTTCAAAGGTATGACATTATAACAGTCTTTAATGACTAGTCCTGCAGGGACAGCCAATTTTTGAATTAAATGTGAGGCCCAAGATTGTGTGATCTTCTCTGTGTACAAATATCATTAATTCTAGATGAAATTGCAAATTCATTTTTTGATAAGACCTCATTTTCTGGTAATAGGTTTCCTTTCTCAATCTCCTTTCTTTCTAATTTCCAGGCCTCAGGGAAGATGGATGAGAATGATTTTGTAGCAGTGACCAGTACAAATGCAGCCAAAATCTTTAATTTTTATCCCAGAAAGGGACGAATTGCTGTAGGTTCTGATGCTGACCTAGTTATATGGAATCCCAAGGCTACGAAAATTGTCTCAGCAAAAACCCACCATCTGGTAAAATCAGTTTGTGAGATTTAATTTCTTTTTTTCTTTATAGGATTTTGCAACCGGGGTGTATTAGTGAAATAATGTATTCCCTTTAATCAGAGAGAAATTGAAACAGAGAGAATTTCGGTAAAATATTAGTATAATTGTTTATTAAATCTGAGTGGGAGAAGAGAAATAAATCTCTTTTGTTATTGGCATTTACTGCAATGGCACCAAAAATATGTAGAGTAATGCTATAGAATATGCAGTAGCAAAACAATACATGATGACCATTCTTTTGCTGTAAATGTGATACTATTAGTATGTACTGTATAGGCATAGAAAAAAATGTACAATCCTAACCTGAACATTTTCCTGTCCCAGCATTTCTCCCGAATTCCACTGAATAACCTTGAATTGCTGAACATGTGGAATTTTAAAGGGCTATGACTGTAATTAAGATTTAACAGAACTATTGAGATAAAAGTTCGTTTTAGTTAGCAAATTACTGGGACTGTTGATATATTCCCCGAGGGTTGGATAAATGCAAGGGCTGTACTCTTTCAAATGTAAAACTAAAAAGAGGAAGCAAGATTGATTCCATTTCGGACAGCTGTGTAGGGGCCATTCATACTGGAACAAACCCTGGGGTCCTTACTCTGTGTTTACTCCGCCTTTCTCAGGTAAATTCCCATTTCACCAACTGGAACTTTAGGCTAACTCGTGGGAATGAATATCAGCTACTTAGGAACGCCTCCTTACCCTTATCTCTGCAAATGATTCACCAGCTGAGAAACTACCCCCACTCTCAAAAGCCATTTGCCAAAGGGAATCTTTCAACAACACGAGTCTTAGTGGAGATCCAAACCCAGCGTTCCTACCCCTTCCCTGGTCCCAAATAGGCTTGTCACTCTCTCTTTGGTAATACTCCACTGGGGAAAGTCTCAGTGTCTGTTCAAACTGTACCTTCTCTAGGGTTTCCCAGTTCATAGGTATCCCAAAATGAACTCCTCCCTGGAACTTGAGAAGCACAATAATATTTGAAGGGTTAGTGGTAAAACTACATGTAACATTAGTAACATGTAGAGGGTAGAACTGGTTTAAATTATTTTGTTGAAATATTTTTGACAAAAAATGAATTTTTGACCAAAATGAAATATTTTTCAGAAAATGAAATTTTCGGGTATTTTGTTTGAACAGAAACAGATGTTTTTCAGTTAAAAATTGGTTTTCAGTTGGATTGTCAATAAAGAAAAATTTGCTTTTGCCCTTCAGAAACCAAAGATTATTACCTTTGTATCAAAAATTGTTTTTGAAAGCTGAAGAAGATTTTTCATTTGGAGGTGGGGAGAATATTTTAAAAAAGAGAAAAAAAACTCCATGGGAAGTTTTGAAAAATGAAATGTTTTCAAATTTCCCACAAAATATAATTGGAATTTTTCAACCAGTTCTGCTAGAGAACTTGCGGTTTCCTGACAAACATAGCAAAAGATTCTGTCAGTCCAAGGTGAGTTTCAGGAGAAGCCTGCTGGGGATCTAGATTAAGCAACTGGAACTTATCCCTACCTATAATTGGGCTCTGGTTTGCTTCACAAGTAGCCAGGGCAGCTCCAGGCACCAGCGCAGCAAGCTCGTGCTTGGGGCGGCGAGCCGCGGGGGACGGCGTGCCGTTCGCCGTGAGGGTGGCAGTCAGGCAGCCTTCGGTGGCATGCCTGTGGGAGGTCTGCCAGTCCCGCGGCATCGGCGGCAATTCGGCGGCTGGTACACCGAAGGCGCGGGACCAGTAGATCACCCACAGAAACACCGCCGAATCCGCGTGACCAGTGGACCGTCCGCAGGCATGCCGCCGAAGGCCGCCTGACTGCCGTGCTTGGGGCAGCAAAAAACATAGAGCCGCCCCTGCAAGTAGCTTAGTGTGTGGTTTAAGCTAGTGCTAAATGTTCATGAATTTTGTTTCTTCATTCCAGTTTGCTTTAGCTCACCAAATTGATAGAGTTCCTTATTTTTTCAAATCTAATCTAAAGGATTATTTAAGGAATGATTAATTATACATGAAGAAAGTATTACAAAAATGTGTGTGTATATATAATTGGTAGGCTGAGGGTTTGTCATTTTTGTTTTTAACCCTAAACTAACTCTTAATATCCTGGTTTGAATTTGTCAGAATGTGGAATATAATATATTTGAAGGAACAGAGTGCCGTGGTTCCCCTACTGTTGTTATAAGTCAAGGAAAAGTTGTGCTGGAAGATGGAAACCTCTTTGTCATCCAAGGGTCTGGTCGCTTCGTTCCTAGAAAGACATTCCCTGATTTTGTTTATAAAAGAATAAAGGCAAGAAACAGGGTAAGGAGAATTTTTATTTGCAAGAAAACAATCTCTGTTCTAATTTATCGCTGTTCTCCTATTGCTATTAATGGTGTGTTACAGCATCCCAGAGCCTCCTGGTAGGACAGAGGGAAAGGGGGCCCTTTACAGGAGCAAAAATATTATTGATGTTATCTGCTTGTTGGCCTCGAAAAGGTGTAAAACTATTAAATAATTGCTCTTATGCATTGCCTGGCTTATCCATAAACAGTGTTGCTATTCAAATGACAATTCTTACACCTGATACCACTTATTAACTCACATTCATCTGAAACTAAAAAAAAACTGTATTGAATTTTTATATACAGTTCCATCAAATATTTTGTATTGGATGATAAGGTATGGTGTGTCTCCCTGGACAAATAGAATGTCTTCAAGGAGATTCAAGGGTAAACTAATCTACTACTAATTACAGGAGAGTAGACAGGAAAAGTACAAAGACGTAAGATGCATTATGTATCTAATTACATGGTCCTTCTAAATTCAATTTGAAAGCTAAAAGATGTTAAAATAATATATTTAATCTGAATGACGATACATTATAATGAAATGATGGCAACATTTTTACAATTTAACTGTAGATATTTCTCATTAGAGATGTCCCGGGCTTAGTGGGTCTCTGATATTTTTATTTCAACTAGCCAGTGTAGGAAACCACACTTGGTGATATATCCCATAATGAAATTAATTAAGTTCTTCTCACAGGTCTTTTCAGCCATTGTTGGCAAACTCTTATTGCCTCCAATTGTGCAAATTGGTCATTAGTATGTTCTGGACAAATACTTTAAATCTCTTACATGTATGTGATTGTAGCAAGTATGTACTCATCCAAGAATGTTTAGACTGGAGAAAATTCTAAAAAATGTCAGTCAATGGGGATTTCAGGGGAACAGGGAGTTCCCAATACCTCTCTGGATTTGACTTATTCTTTAGGCTGCTCATTTGTGCCCTGGATTGCTCCCTTCCTGCTAGCTATATCCCCTATGCTGGCAACTGGGAGAAGGGGTAACATAGGAACTGGTATGGCAATTTTGTCACAGGAATGATCTATTTCTGTATGTAAGTAAATAGTTAATAGATAAGGTGCCAATACAAGGAGCTCAGAAATATTTTCTGTAGTTCCTTCATTTTATAGGGCCAATAAGACTTATTCTACACTAGCTTTTTTGGTGGCTCTTTATATCATCTCTTAGCTGCACCATGCCTCCATTTTTCCATGTGTTTTGTGGATGTTTTCATTATTTGATGTATGGAGGGCAAGTATCAGTAACCACTTCATTTCTCCCAAATACACCAATGCACATCGGCAACTACAGCAATAACCACATGACATGATTTACTGTAGCTTTTCTTTTCTCTGTGAATTCATTGCTGTAATAGAGGCACAACAGTGGAAGGCAGAATAAGTAAAAGAAACTGACAGAGCCTTGTAAAAACTATAAATCCTGTTCATAGCAGCTAGCCTTAGCTTTTAAAGCTGCCACCTATGGTCAGGGCCGGCTCCAGGCACCAGCCCACCAAGCTTGTGCTTGGGGCGGCACCTGGAGGGGGGCGGTGCGGCGCTCCGGCTGCCGGGGAGAGCGGGGCCCCTGGCGCTCTGGCTGCCGGGGGGAGAGCGGAGCCCCCGCCGGGGCTCGCCACCCTCCCCCCCCTGCGTCCTCCCCCCGGGGCTCCGGCCGCCCTCCCCCCCCCAGGGCGGGGGGGGGAGCCGGAGGCTTTTTTGCCTGGGACGGCAAAAAAGCCAGAGCCGGCCCTGCCTATGGTCATTTAAAACTAGAGTGGAAGCAATGATCTGTGCAGTGACCATATTACCTGCCCTCTCATCTACCTGCACTCCTTCCTCACTTTCTGGTATGGCCATGAAAATGACACTTATCCTGTAATATGAAGAATTGCTCCTGTATGCTCTCCTACCTGCATTTTCCCCTCATATTTTGCACCCTTCTTTAACTTGCAGATAAGCGATTGCTAAGTCTGGTTGATCCCACTCGATGTGACAAAAGGCCTCCAGGCTATTTGCTACCAATCAAACTCCATCTATGTTATGTTTGAAAGTAAAAACATTGTGTCATTTTTCATCATCCAAGGAAGGCACTTTGCTAAATATAAACTTTTGCTCACATGAAGCTGGAGGTTCCTAGACTCCGAGTTAAATAATAATTGGGCATCAGATCAGGTGGTCGCTGATTGCTTGTGAAGTTAATTCATTTGGGCAGTCACATTTGATATTATGGGCAGTTAGTCTGGTTGTCTGCATTACATTTTTTGGTCCCTTGTCTAGCAGTGGCTTTTTGGAGAGAGAAAAGGGTCCAGAATGGTGTTGGAAAATATTGCATTGGATATCAACTTTACACAGTTTTCAGTATTACAGAGATGAAGATCAGATGGCATGACAGTTTAGCAGTGAAACTGAAATGCTATTTTAAAATGCAGAATAGTTATTCTTTACAATTTGTATCTGTCCTGACTTCATTATGCTCAAATCCAAACCTTTTTCTGTTTTCTAAATGCTCTGTACTAATTTTTGATCATAAAATGACTGGTACATAATGTGGCTTGGGATGAGAACTAGCTAGACGCAGGTAATAATGTGAATGGAGTACTGGTAATGTAGCTATTTCTCTGCACTAGCTTCAGATCTTTCTACCAGTCGAGAAGATGGATGGTTTAAAGTAGCACCTGATGCAATAGGACATTGTAATCATGCTGTGTCAGGTTCCGTTGAGTTGTGTCACATCAGAACTCACAACATACCAAAGGAAAAACAGAATGGAATGTGAGGTGGAAAATGCCTTTTTTTGTGTGTTCTCTGTAACAAAAAATAAAAATACAGTAAGTCTTTTGCCAATAAGCCAAAATTATGCACTGCTCCTTTCTCATGGCCACTGCAAAGTGCCAATCTAGCCCTGGAGATGAAAATATTGATCTCAGTGTTAGGACGTGAAGAATACTGGTTTGAAGAATCAACTGGATTGCAAGCTGTTCAGGGAAGGGCCAGTATCTGTCTGTGGTAGTGTACAGTGCTCAGCATGCACTGAGGCACTGTAAAAATAAAGACATTAACAGTATTAATAGTAATAAAATGAATGATAGAACCCTGAAGACACACTGGGCTTGATTCTGATTTTCCCTAAGGCCCCTTTACACAGTTCTGGTAGTGTAAAGGGGCCTGAAACTGGGTGTTGTTGTAATTTAAGGTCAGAGCAGTGTAATGGGGCCTTCGTGTAAATGAGAACTATGTTCACTGTGTCCAAGATACACTGACAGCAAACACTTCCTATTTCATCTCTCTGTATTATATTTTGGGGGAGCCAGGATACCATATCATCACCAGGTGGCCAATTTAATGGAAAGGGACCTTTCTATGGGAGACTGACACGGATGATAGAGCCCAAAACTGACCTGCCATTTTCTTTTTTATGCCGGCCAAAATCTACGTAACTCCTTGTAAAATAATTTTCCAGAGCAAATGGTTAATGTTCTTTCTTCTCAAACAAATAACCTGAACTTATGTGCAACCCAACAATAATAACTCAGGATATGTATGACGGAGAGAAGAAAGATCAGTAAGGGAACAGATTTCAGCTTCAAATTTCTCATCATTTCATTCAGAATCAGCTCACATGTTTATCCTCTATCTTGCTACAGCTTGCTGAAATTCATGGTGTTCCCAGGGGGCTTTATGATGGGCCAGTTCATGATGTCATAGTGACTGCTAAAGCTGCAGCCCCCACTCCTACTTCAAGGATAGCTCCCTGCTCAGGCAAAATACCAACTCTTCCTGTCCGTAATCTGCATCTGTCAGGATTCAGCTTGTCTGGTAAGTTTGCTCAGTGGGTACAGTAGCATTTGCAGGTAGAGATGAACATGGGTAGCTTAGACTGACTGAGAAGTGCAAATATTGTTTACAAACCATACCCCAGTCTTGCAGTGAGCTCCCTGCAGGCAGACTTCTGCACCCCTGAGGAACCCTGCTGAAGTTAATGCAACTCCAAACGGATGCAGGGGTCCATTCAAATTGAGTTCAATGGCAGGGTCAGGGCTTATGTTATGTTACTCAAGTAGAAGAAAATGATCGAGGTATAGAATTGCATTAGTAATTTCTGCTAATGTAAAAGACAAAATGTATTAACAACTAAGTTTATGTGATGATTGCCTTGCTGCTTTTGAGAAATCACTTTTCCCGCTACAGTACAATTTGCAGAGCTATAGTATCTTACATACAAAAGCAACACAAAATTCTTCCAGATGCTTGAAAGCTATCCATGCAAATACATTAAAGTATGTAGGTCACAAGATACCAGAGAGGATGCATGTCAAGTTTGAATTAAAAAATGAGGTGGCCAATGGGTATGAAACAGAGAAGACAAAAGAGCCAAGGACAGGCATCAGACTGATGAAGTCTGACAACAGAGGTTGAAATCTTGGCCCCATTGAAACTGATGGCAAAATTTCTATTAACTTCACTGAGGCCAGGAATTCAGCCTGAGTTGTGTCCTTTTCCAATTCCATAAAATAAGTGGTTGGATATATAGGAAACCTATGAGAGGAAGATGGCTGAGATGCACACAAACTAAGAAAAGGCATCAAGTAGTATTATATGGTTAAAGCGCAAAGGTCAAGGCAGATGGGGAGAGAGGGAGTGAGAAGGAATCATAGTTACAGAAGAGAAAATTACTAAGCACAGATACAGCAATGGACAAATTCAGTACTATGGCTAGAGTGGAGGTGAGATGACAAATGCTCATGTACAGTAGCTTGTTTTAGGGGAGGTCAATGGCTAGATGAAAAGATTGTCTCTTAAGTTTTTATTTAAAAAGGGGAGAATCACAACTAAACTAGTAGCTAATAGGGGAAGTGGATATAAGGGGGAATGGTCACCCAGATCTTATGACGAATGCTCAGAACAGCAGCGCTTCAACCAATGGCTTGGAGACTGTCACATCTCTATAAAGGCATCAGACACTCACATAAATGATTTACTGCTTGTGAGTTTCCTGAATTGAAGATTCAAACCAGTTGTTATGACAGCCATTAGGAACGGGAAGAGTACTGCATATCTAGTTGTACAATGGTAGGTTTAAATTTATGTCATGTTAATTTTGATATAAATCCTGGTGTAAATAAAGTTGAAATTTGACTTCTACATAAAAAAAATCATACCGTGAAAGGTAGTTTCCGCTATTTTATCCACAGTGATGCAATTTTGAGTCTTATTTGAATCATGGGAGTACCACACATACGTTCTTCAGTCATTTGGCATATAGGGACATCATGCATGTGCTGCTCAGCTTTGTGTCCCACCGTACTTGGTGCATGAACATGTGTACCATAGCTAAGAAGAATTTTGAAAGCAAATGCCACATTATACAGTTACTGATAAAACTCTGCACTTACTTGGCTGAGATCACATGGATATTTGACAGCTCTACACGAAATGAAGTCTCAAAATGTTATTATCTGGAAACTATTTATTCATGGAGAAACAAATCATTACAAAAAATTCCTAGAATGAGTATGCAAAGGATCTTTCCAGGAAACCAGTTAGAATTTTCCAGTTCCTTCCAATTAGAATACAATCTTTCATTGCATTTGACAGCATTTCCTATAATTACCCCTTTTAATTTATTCTCATTATGTATAGTAGCATGTTTAGTTTCCCCACTACTAAGCTTTAAATATGCTTTGGTTATATCTGTCTGAGCATGAAAACATAATAATATTATTTGATCTTCAAATTATCAGTATAGTTCGTAGCTTCAGTGGTGATTAGGAGGGCTGCTAAAATTCAAAAGCATTTTAACTAAAAATTACAAGATTCTACAGATTATACAGTTCATTGGTCATGTCACTGCTACATACCTTATTTATAAAGTTGTCCCAAAGTGTAAAAAGTGTAGGTATTTATTTTTGTTTGAATTTTATTGTTCAGTTTCCAAATCAATATGCATTAAAGACAAATAAATTGTTATTGATTACCCATGTACATATATATTGTTATGAACAAAAACATTTCATTTAATAACTCCTGTATTTAAATCAATGGGGCCGTCACTTCTAGCCCTTCAAGTTCTATGCCTTCTCTTCTAGGATCTCAAACAGATGACCATATTGCAAGACGCCCTGCTCAAAAAATCATCGCACCCCCTGGTGGACGTTCCAATATTACATCTTTGTCATAATGATTCCAAATGTGATGTATTGTATTCCTTGCCAATCAGTCTTGGTTTCCACTGGAGCAGGTGATCTGGAGAACTGCATTTTTCAACATCAGTTTCACATTTACAGAAAATGTATCTTACAAGATTGCCTTGTTTACACTCACCCAGAACACCTTGCTTTATGAGGGGGGGAGGGATAGCTCAGTGGTTTGAGCATTGGCCTGCTAAACCCAGGGTTGAGAGTTCCCTCCTTGAGGGGACCATTTACGGATCTGGACCAAAAATTGTGGATTGGTCCTGCTTTGAGGAGGGGGTTGGACTAGATGACTTTCTGAGATCCCTTCCAACCCTGATATTCTATGATTTTTACGAGCTGTAAGCAACAGAAGTGCAGATCTAAGTAGCAACCTTAACAATTAATTATAATGTGCAAGGGTCTTGGGTGGAGTGGACACCAGGACATATAAAATTGATCTGCCATCAAGCTCAGGATGAAATTAGCCATGCATCAGTTTACCCACCCCCCATCTTTCTCTGAGTGGAAAATAGGCTAAAAATACCCGAGATAATAGAACTCCCATCAAGTATTTTAAATATGTTTCTCTCTCAAATAGATATTCAGCAGATCTTTAACACGTGCATGTAAACAATAAGAAGTTCATTTAAAAATGTGTTCAGCAGTGCTGCTGGCTGTCTTGTAATCAGGACAAAGCTGTAGACATGTTTTGTGTTTAATAGGTTCTTTGTTTCCTTTCCAATAACAACTACTGCCCTTTGTACTCTAAGGAATTTTAACTGGTAAACACTCAACTCTGTATGTTTTTAATACAGTTAGTTATATATATCTTGTGGTTGAAATGATCAATAATCATCTATTTATACTATCTCATTGCGCAGGCCTTGAACATGCCTTGGGAATCATTGTCACTCTGTACCAATGTGACAGCATGAATATAAGAAATCGAAGTGTGGTCTGAATGTTCATGGAGTTAGTTGTCATAGTGTCGATATAGGCATACTAATGCATTGAGTTTTTTGGTTTTTTTTCATAGTTGTATTTCTGGAACACAGAGATGACAGTGGAAGTTCCAGTGTATTTTAGTCTTTTTGTTAGACTTGTTTTTTAAAGATTATTTATACAATTTTCCAAGTACCAAGCAGAGGCACTTTCGAAGGCCAGTTGCATCTGATGGACTCTTTTATAAAGCTTAATACAACAGGTTTATTATATTTAAAGCTATGTACAGTAAAGGTGATCTTATATGCAGTATTATTCCATAAAACTATGCATGTAATGTCAACAAAATCACTATTTTGTTTTTTGTTCATTGCTTTCAATAAAGTTTGTTGGAAGTCACCAAAATTATAAGGCGATTTGATTAATCTTTGTCTACTGTCTCCTACTATGGGCTCTTATCCATAGCGAATCTAAAACTCACTTATACACTTTGAGTTTGATCTGATTCCCTTTATCAAGGGAAAGAGGCCTATTGACTTCAGAGAAGTTGGATCAGGTCTTGTATACCAAGAGCTCTATAACTAGACTGTTCATAGTTCCCAAACTAGTTTGAGTGCTTACCTGAAACTCTTTGAGCTGTAAATCAGGCTGAAATACTATAAGCTCAGTCAGCCTTCCCCATTAGATTTCCAGTACTTCCTGGTTTCTCCTAGACTAGTGAAAGCCTTGAGAATGAATTTTCTTGGACTATTTCCGTACTTCCATTTTTAGCCCCATCTGAAACTAGGAAGTAAAGATGCACATAAAAATTATGGAAAGACAACAGTTCAGGATTTGCTACAGTGGCAAAGACATATGAAATCTTCCCATACTTTCATTTTAGATTTGTGTTTTAATAAAAATTTCATCTGGATGTAGCAAAATTATAGTCTTTGAATGGAGTGTTTCATTGTTTGGAATTATTTCTTCAGTTTATGGCCCTATTGTTATTTCACTAGTTCAGCTGAAAGAAACTCTGGAGCTAGTAAATCTTTTGTGGGGCTATTCTTTCCTCCCTAGCTGATACATTTTAGGAAAGTGAAAAATGTTAAGAGTAAAAAATGTGCAGTAAATGTAAAAACTGCCCTGGGTTTCAGAGTGTACAGGGGATGAAGCTGGGCCAGAATAAAGCCCTACTTTTTTTTTTCTTCAGAAAAATGACTAAGTCTTCAGAAACTATACACACCAAGAACTTGAAAAAACAAACTGATCTTTCCCAGGGGTGTAATTACCTCAGCTCACAGCCTTCTAGACAACCTTTCTCAACACATTGGCTAGAATGCCAAACTTCATTAGAGCATGAAAAAGATCAGAGCTTTGAAACCTCCACTTGCCACACAGATAAGTGATGAGGTTATAAGATGTTGCTGTAACTGTACCTTTTTCATTTCCATATGGGTTTTCTGTACCATACATTCATACTCCATTGATTCACAATAAACAAATCTCAAAAGAATGGCTCGTGAAATTGCTAGTAATTCCTAGCTTTGGTAGAGCTTCTGTGCCCGTATTTCTATGTATTGCCAGAATCCAAAAATTCTGAAGTTTCTGCATTTTTTTTAACTTCACAATAGATTTTGGGCCTGTAGATTTTGGGCAATGACTGAGCCCAGTACTTATTCGTAATGGACTATTTTACCCGTCCTTATGCTCAGATACAATAGTGATGAGTTGCAGTATAAAACCCTAAGATAGATACAACTGGTAGTGACAGAGTGAGTTCCTTTCAATGAATTCAGCATTTGGAATAACTGAGAATTTTTGTTGCTCTTGTAAAGTGTCTTGAGCGATGGATAGCATGTCAGTCGGGGGACACATTCCTTTAATTGCATTAATAGTTTCTAAAAACCCCAGACATTGTCAAAACATATACAATAGTTTTGCCTTATTTACAGATGTGATGATCATCCCTCTTTAAGCTGTCTCAAATTGGGTACCCAGTAATTGAGGCACTCAATAATACAAGTCATTTTTGAAAATCTAGGCTGCTTATTTTATCAAACAAATATTGAATGTTTGCAGGAAAAAACAGAGCAAGTCTGAAAATGTTAATTTATTTTATTTTTTGTAGTAGCAAAATTATTTTCTAAGTTACTTTAGCAACAATATGCATGAGAAAGGACAGAGAACGAACCAAACCACTACATCTTCCTAACCATGGCCCTGATTCAGAAAGGTACTTAAGCACCATCGAAGTCAGTGGGCTACCCATGTGTTTAAAGTTAGGCATGTGCTGAATGAGGGCCCTTAACTGCTTCCACATGAAGCTGGAGGGTAACATTATACAGTACTATTGCAATTGAGAAATTCTGCTAGTCAGGTGAAACAGCTCCTGCCCCTCCCTTGTGGCAATATAAAACCATTACATTGGGGGTTGGAAGGTTATTACATGGGGTTGTGAGCTGTCAGCCTCCACCCCAAACCCTGCTTTGCCTCCAGCATTTATAATGGTAAATATATTAAAATGTGTTTTTAATTTATAAGGGGAAGAGGGGGTTGCACTCAGAGGCTTGCTATGTGAAAGGGGTCACCAGTAAAAAAGTTTGAGAGCCATTGCATTACATTAAGAAAGCCACCTATTGCCTCGTTTTGCTAAATTCCAATTCCAGAGGAGAGAGGGGCATTCAATGCAGGTACCTGCTGCAAGTAAGAATGGCTCACAGTAACACAACACAGCTAAGGAAAGAAATGGGGTGAAATTCTTCTGACTCAGTTCTATTGAAGTAAATGGGAGTTTTGCCATTGGCCTCAGTAGAGCCATGACATTAAACAAATTGTGGTGAGTAGTGGTTAAACATTCTGTAACTCCAGTTACTCTCAAGTATATGTTAAGGCTGACATTTTCAATGCCATCTAGGGGTTCTGGTGTGGATGCCCTATTTCTATTAAAATGAATGGGAAATGGGCCTCCAAATCCCCTAGGCAGCTGTGGAAAACTAATCCTAAAATTTTCCCCCTCCTGCAACAGCTATCCCTGATATTGGAGGATTGGGTAACACACAAGGGAGGTGTCTCAACCCACAGCCACTCTCTGCTTGCAACAACCAATAAGGGCTTGAGTGTTAGTGTGAGGCACGCTGGGGTGTAAATTAATAGTGTACACCTTGCAGTACACTAACTGGCTGTGTGGATCCTGCTGCTGTGCTCTAAAATTCCCCAACTGCACACTGACCTAATCCTATAAACACCCCAGATTGCTGCATACTAATTCTCTACCTAGACAAGACGTAAGAGAAGGAAAACACACACAGCATCAACTAAACCCTCCGCTCTTCACTCTATTAAAAAGGTAGCATGGGCCTCTCTGTTTCAAACTGTATAAAAGCTATATAACATTTGCTATGGCCTGAAAAAGCAACCTGTGCCAAAAGATAATTCACAGTGCTATTGTCAGATGCGCGCGATAGCGCGGGCTTTCGAGGAATAGCTGACTTTTAAAATCTGGTCCTGGAATACTGCTGGGGTATCGATTTTGTGGGAAAACACAGGAGGCTGGGTATTGCAAGTAAAGGAGTAAAAAGGACAGAGAAGAGACTGGCTGCCCAGTTCTGTCCATAGAAAACTTAGAAGCTTGAGTCAGTCAAAGTGCTTAAATACCCCGTGATGGGGTGCCCTTATAAAAACCTAGCAGGAAGGAAGGAACTAATAAACCATGAAAGCATGCACCGCTTCCCAGACCAGGCAATTTGGAGGGCGTTTAGCAGAAAACTCCACATGAAGAGGCCTTCCCTTCCAATAAGTATTCTACTAACCTTATGTAACCCAGTGTTTAAATATGGATAAAATGTGTTAATTGGATTGAAGTATAGATTTTTAAAGCCAGAAGGGGACCATTCTGATCTAGTCTGTCTTCCTGCATAACAGAGGCCACAGAAGCTCACTCAGTAATTTCAGCATCAAGCCCACATGAAATTATACTCCATTCAGGTCAACCTTCAATTTTATTTTATATTATATTGCAATATTATATTGGTGCACCTGTGCCAAGGCTAGATTTTAAAAGGTATTTACCTGTTTTCCAACAAAATTTATGAAGTTATGGCATTGGACACCTGTGATGGAATATGAAAGACACAAAGCTAAATTCTGCTAGTGTAAATTTATTGCAACTCCCCTGAAATCAATGGCTTTCCCATTAATTCAGGGCCACACAGAGATTTTACCGGGTCTGGGGCAAAATTTTAAACTGCCCCCCCCCAATTACCACTGAGAGGAGGCCTACAGTAAGGGGTTGGCGAGTGAGCCCACCCCATATACACCCAGTCCCCCCCACAGGGGTAGCTCCCATCCTATGGGACTGGGACTGGCTCCCTGCTCTGGGCATTGTGACTTGGTGCACAGGGTTGCAGTGCCACTCAGGTTTGGCCCAGCCACCTCTCCATCATGACCTGGTTTCAGCTCCACTAGTTTGGGGGCCCTCTCAAACAGGGGCAAGCTGCCCCTTTTGCCCCCACCCCCATCCAGGAGGCCCTGTTTGAATTTACACCAGTATGACGAACATCAGAATTGGGTTCTATGTGTAATGATTGCTAAATGGGGTAATGTGTCCCATACATTATTACCTTCTTTCTATTTAAATAGAGCTTTTCATCACAGAAACTCAGAAATCTTCACAATCACCATACAAATGAGTAGATGTGCAATAACCGAAGCAGAACCATCTTTGTAGTGGACCATGGCTGCTATTATGTACCAGCACGACACGCTAAATGTTGTGCCAAGATTTTACATGGCATTCTAAAGAGTAAATGAGCCATAAAACCCACTCAGAAGGAAAACATTGGGAGATCACCAGAATGAATTTCAAAAGGACATCCCATGCCAGAATCAACCACAGATTCAATAGGGAATGACAAGCATAACAGCTAACCATTAACTGCTACATATTCAGGGCATAACTTTCTTTTCTTGGGCCTCGATCCTCAAGGTAGGGTGTTCAGATGGTACAGTTAACTTGAAATGCTGCATTTCTCTCTTCCCTTTGTCTACTGATGTTTACTTGACCTGAGCTGTGAACAATCTGGTGCTAATTACAAGGCAAATGAAAAGAATAGCTATATATTATTGATGTAAATGTCATTTCCCTGGTGTCTAAGACTTTGTAGGAAGAATTGCTCTTCTAAATATTCTGTTCTGGTGATGAACATTTTGAATGCCTTGTTCCCCAAATTCTTGTAAATCTCCCTCCCCAAAAAACAGTGATGCTCTTGCATCTTAATATACTTTTGCCATAACTCAGGTTTCAACATGATGAATCTATGTACTAGAGTACCGCCCTGTTTATCTAAACTATTGTGCCAGTATCAAAAAAGGCAATTGGAGTTTTGGTTAATTGTGAAAGTTT